CCCCAAAACCCCAAAACCCCAAAACCCCAAAACCCCAGGCTAGAGAGGATATGAATAAATAAAAATAGTTAAAAATGAACGACTCTGAAGAAGAAAAAGAAGTCCCAATTGATTACTCAAGAATGTGAATGAGAGCTCTTGATAGTGACAGAGCACCTTCAACCCGCCAAAAAATGAGAGATGAGAAGTTAAACTATAAGATTCAGTAAGCTTAAAAGTCAACATTTAGAAACCCAGAAGAAGCCAATATCAAGCTAAGAAATCATCCCACAGGAATTGATATCAGAAAGAACAGAATGGCACTGAGAGGTGTAAGATAGCTAAATATTTAAATAGAAGCTGAAGGCTGTCTAGTTTATCAATTATCTTCTTCTTGCGAACTCCTCTTTGGACTACTTCAAATAAAAGCAGCAAGAACATATTTCCTATTTCTAAGAATTTAAACCTGTGAACTCTTGTATATTAAGCCCAAATATTAGTCTTTTCTAATTTCTGAAATCTACCGATCGCCTAGTTGTGTTCAAGGATTTATTTAGGTGCTCTCTCAGAAAATAAGGTGTAACAGGGATGTCCAGAAAGTGCTTGATAAAAACAAAAGATACATCAACCAAATTTATTCAAGTGTGAAGCACGAGCAGAGATCATTATTTAAAAGAGATATCAAGGATTACTATGATAAGGAAAAGAAATATGGGTAATATGCCTACTATTAAGATAATTCCTTCTGGACAGCATCTGGAGTATCATAGGAAATTATTGAAGCCTTTATTACAGCCTCCAAGAATACCAAAGACAATGGTAAATAGGAGCTTTGATCACAAACTGCCAAAAGTTCTCAGTAGAAGCGTTGACAAGAATCCGTTTGAAAATAAAAATTCTTACAAAGATATCATGGGGTATGAGACCATAAAAGACATTAACACCTCTCTTATTGAAAAGAAGCTTACTATGGATAAGTCAGAATGAGATTATAGCACAAATACTAGGTATAGAGGAGAGTTAAAGACGATGTCTATGAAGCATTCAGAACTCCAGAAATATCTTCAAGGACTTGAGAGAACAAAGAAAATCCATATTGGGACTATTCCTACTGTCAAGTCCATCTCTCAGCTCAGAAATAGTAGTAAAAGCCCTCTATTATCTGGAGATACGAATAGTAAGGCGCTTATTCATCAATATTTTATCATTGAGCTTCTTCTCTAAAAATAACTCATTTTCTATAGCTGAACAAGATGATGTCTATCTGATTCATCCGGATAGAGTTTTGGAAGAAAATACAGGTATGAGTCCAAGGAAGAAGAGACATGCTTCTATAAGCTATAAATCCCCAAGCAATGAATTCTCATTAAAAGTTGAGCCAAGAAAGAAAGTCTTGAATGCTATCAAACAGCTGGGGGAAGATAAAGAAACCTATATGAAGTTCTATCACCTCAAAGAAGCTTTACTTCCTAAAGAGCTGACAGTACATAGTTATTATCAGGACGATGTCTCAAGATGGCGTCCAAGTGCTAGAGAAGGCTCAATTCTATTCTTCCATAAAAATATTCTTGAAGATGAACAATTCTTACTCTATGGCGGAATGAATAATGAGATCCTTCAAGAAATAGTTGAACTAAATATTGACAATATTGACAACAAAGTGTACTGGGAGAAACATACTAAAGAAATTACTTGCCTTAATGAGTATGGAAAACCCTCAAAACATGCCTTAGAGCTTGGAAGAGGCGGCATCTCCAGTATTGTTTATACTGAAGTGAACCCATTTAACAATCAGTCGAGACAGAACTGCGTGATACTTTATGGAAGTGGAAAGATAGTTAAATTCACACCTAATAAAAGTGAGTTCAGGATTCTGAACCAATATGGGAGATTGCATGAGGACAGGCAGTATCACTCAGCTTGTAGATTTGGAAAATATATGATATGTTATGGAGGTATTAATAACTTTAAGAACATACTTGATAAACTTTGCTGCTTTGATTTGATAGAACAGCAATGGAAGGATGTCAAAGTCATCCCAAACAGCATCAATAGATGGGTTAAAAGCAAGCATAGTGGAAAAGTCAACCTTGACTGTGATGATGGGCCAGGTCCTCTATATCATCATAGATGGGCTCCTGTCTTTTACCGTCAAAGAGAAGAGTACTTTGATGAGTTTTTGTACGATAATTTAGGAGTTGAAGATTCTGATATTGGGATACAAGACCCACTTATTAAAATGCCTAAAATTAAGTGGGAAAATGTAGGAAAGTATCTTCATCAAGAAGGGATCTACCTATTTGGAGGAAAATCCCTTTTAGGAAAAATCACAAATGACCTCTGGTGTTTAAAAATATGTGACAAAAGAGAAGCTTTAATCGCCATTGAAATGGAAGAAAATTATAGAATTAGACATAAATTCCCTTCCCTCAAGAAATTTGAGAATATTGACTATCATTCGTATTTCCAATGGGAAAGAATGGAAACTCAAGGAATATCTCCTTCACCCAGATATCAGCACTGAGTAGAATATTATGATAAAATGAATTTTTTGATCATCTATGGAGGCAAAGGAACCTCTGAAGGAAAAGAGGTCCTAAATGATCTTCATCTTCTTAGGATGGACAACCTCATGTGGATCAAAGTAAATTTACGAGGAATGGAGCTTAAACCTAGAGCTAATTTCTCTTCTATTATCCAAACCCAATCCTACCATAGAAAAATTAGAGATCAGACAGATAGCACGAAGTTGATAATTTTTGGAGGAATTAAGGAAAATATGCACTACACCTCAGACACATTCATCCTCGAGCTCGACCAGGATAGAATTGAAGAACTAATCCAAAAAGAAAACGACGAAATCGAGCGTAAAAAAGTCGAGGAAGAACTCGCTCTCCTTGAAGCAAGTAGACAATTTTAACCTAAATTCTCTCAATCTTCTTCTCTTTCCCTGGGGTTTTGGGGTTTTGGGGTTTTGGGGTTTTGGGGTTTTGGGG